TGTGTGTGTGTGTGTGTGTGTGTGTGTGTGTGTGTGTGTGTGTGTGTGTTATTATCTTTTTAAAAACTCCAACAAAATGAAACAAAACAAAAGAAAACTTGATTTCAAAACATATCTGGCCCCAAGAGCTTCAGTTAAGGGATAGAGATGTAAAAAAAAAAAGATACAGGTGTGAGTTCTGCATGGTGGCACGTGCTTGTAATCTGCTACTCAGGAGGCTGAGGCGGGAGAATTGACAATTTGAGCTCAGCCTCGGCAATTTAGTGACTTAGTGAGACCCTGTTATAAAACAAAAAAGTAGGAAAGACCAGGGATATAATTCAGAGGAAGAGCATTTGCCTAGCAGGTGTAAGACCCTGGGTTTGGTCCCCAGTAATGAAAAAGAAAAGATTGCACATGTATAATAATAATAAAACACCACTGAAATGTGTATTTGATGTGCCTTGTAGGGACATTAGGATTTCTCAAACGTTTATTTCACTAATAACCTTTCCTCTACTCTGGGAGATTTCATAAAAATTTTCCTGAAAATTAAAAATAGCAACTTTATTGAGATAGAACTTAAACACCATAAAGTCCACCAATTAAAAGTATAAAATTTTGCAATGGTTTGTATCACATTTTTTTTTCAGTATTGGGGATTGAATCCAGGGCCTTTCACACTGAGCTACATCCCCAGCCCTTTTGAGTTTTTTCTTTAAACTCTGGGACACGGTTTTCCTAAATCACTGAGTTGCCCAGGCTGGGCTTACACTCGCAGTCCTTTTGCCTCAGCCTCCAAGAATTCTGGCATCTAGTACATTCTTGGAGTTGGGCAGTCATCACTGTCAAATTTCAGAACATTTCCATCACCTCAAGAAGCCCCATACTCATGAGCAGTCAATCCCCCTGCCCTCCCCCAGCAGTGGGACCCACTGATCTACTTTGCCCCTATGTATTTGCCCATTCTGGACATTTCATATGAATGGAATTATATATATCTGTTTTATTTTCCCTTTTTGGGGTTGAGGGTTGAGGTCAAACAGGGTGAGGAGAGCTTGTAACTGAAATGAAGATTTTTTAGTAAGATACTGTCTTTCAGTGATACATTTTCAGTTTTATTTGTCCAGAGATGGTATTTACTCTTGAAGCTATTTGAGTGATTTGGATTCTGTCCCTATGGCTTCCATGAATTCTCTCTGAGAACCTCTGATGTGACTCCTCCTCTTGTCAGCCATGTTGGGCCTCAACTCACAGGGTGTGGTCAGCTTTGTGCTCCTGCAATCTCACCAGCCACCTGCCCAGCTGCCCAGCTGCCCAGCTGCTGCAAGCTCAGGATCAACCACAGCGACCTCTTGAGTACCACTCAGTCCTGAGGGGCATTCATCTGTGGATGGACATAAGGGCTGCTTCCAAGATCTAGCTATTATAAATTGTGCTGTTGTATCACTATAATATGATGTCTTTAACTCTTTCGGGAAGATACCTAGAGCAATAGCTTGGTCAAATTGAATTTCTAGTTCTGGTTGTTTGAGGAGTCTTCATACTGATTTCTTTAGTGGTGTACTAGTTTATATTCCCACTAACAGTGTAGAAGGGTTCTTTTCTTCCCCAAAGCCTCGAAACATTTGTTATGATTTGATTTCTTTATTTCTCTTTTTCTTCCCTCCCTCCCTTCCTCCTTCCCTTTTTCTTTCTTTCTTTCTTTCTTTCTTTCTTTCTTTCTTTCTTTCTTTCTTTCTTTCTTTCGAGATAGAGTTTCTCTATGCAGTTCAGGTTGTCCTTGAACTCACTTTGTAGCCCAGGCTGGCCTCGAACTTGCAGCAATCCTCCTGCCTCAGCTTCCCGAGTGCTGGGATTATAGGTATGCACCACCATGCCCGGCTTGATTTGATTTCTTGATGATAGCTATTTCTTATGATGTAAAATGGAATCTCAGTGTTGTTTTAACTTGCGTTTCTCTAATGACCAGCAATGTTGACCATTTCTTCAAGAGTTCATTGTCTATCTATAGTTCTTCTTCTGTGAAGTGTCTATTCATTTCCCTTGTCCCTTGATTGGGTCTTTTATTGGGGAGGCTGTTAATTTTTTTTCAGTTTAAAAAATATATTCTAGGTGTTGTTCTTTTGTCTGAGAAATAGCTCGAAACTTTTTCCCCCATTTTGTAAGTTGTCTTTTCACTCTGTTGTTTGTTTCCTTTGCCTTTTAATTTGACATGATCCCATTTATTGATTCTTGGTACTATTTCTTGTACAATTGGGATTCTGTTCAGAAGGTCCTTTCCTATGCCTATGACTTTAAGAGTTTTATCTATTTTATCTTCCCGTGCTATGATAGTTAACTGATTGTGTCAATTCGAATAAGAAATGCCCAACTAAATTGAATTAGCATAGTGTGAGTGTGGCGGAGGGGATTTAGATTAAAAATTTAGATCTTAACATTTAGATCTTTGATCCATTTTTATTTTAGTTTAATACATGATGAGGAATATGGATCTAGATTCAATTTTCTGCATATAAACAACCAGTTTTCCCAGCATCATTTATTAAAGAGACTATCTTTCCTCCAGTATGTCTATGGCCCCTTTCTCAAAGGTCAGATAGCTGAATGTGCTTGGGGTTGTTTCTGTGTCCTCTGTTCTGTTATGTTGATCCACATGCCTGTTTTTGTGCCAGTACCATGCAGTTTTCATCACTATAGGCTTGTAATATAACTTGAAATCTGGGATTTCTGTGATTCCTCCTACTTTGCTCTTATTACCCAGGATTGATTTTGCTAGTCTGGGTCTCTTCTGGTTTCACGTGAATTTTAGGATTGTTTTCTCTAGTTCTGTGAGAAATGTTGGTATTTTGATTGGGGTTGCATTCAATCTGTGTATCAGTTTTGGGAGTGTGGCCATTTTGACATTATTGGTTCTGCCTATTCAGGAGCAGGGGATATGTTTCCATTTTCTGATGTGCCATTTGACCTCCTTTCTCAGAGTACTGTAGAAGTCTTTCACCTCCTTGGTTAGGTTACTTCCAATGTATTTCATTTTTCTCAATGCTATTGTTGAAGGTATCATTCTCTAATTCCTTTCTTGGTGAGTTTATTATTGGTATACAAGGATGTTATAGGTTTTTGCGTGTTGATTTGGTATCCTGCTATATTGCTGAATTTGGTTATTAATTGTGAGAGTCTTTTGATTAATTTTTTGGGCCTTCTATGTAGAGGATCATGTCATTTGCAGACAATGATAATATAACTTCTTCCTTTCCTACATATATCCCTTTTATTTCATTTTCTTGCCTGATTGCTCCAGCTGTTTCAAGTACTATTTTGAACAGGAATGGTGATAGTGGACATTCTTGTCTTGTTTATGATTTTAGAAGGAAAGCTTTCAGTTTCTCCCTATTTAATGTGATGCTGGCAGTAGGTTTGTCACAAATGCCTTTTATTGGATTGAGATAAGGTCTTTCTATACCTATTTTCTTCAGGTTTTTAAAAAAATCATCAATGTATTTTGGATTTTGTCAATGACTTTTTCTGTATCTATTGAGATGGTCATGTGATTTTTGTCCTTGCTTCTGTTTATGTGATGCATTACATTTATTGATTTCTTATGCAGAACCATTCTTGCATCCCTGGGGTGATGCCTACTTGGTCACGATATATAATCTTTTTGATGATTTATTGTATTTTTTGCCAGTATTTCATTGAGGATGTTTGGATCTATGTACATTAAAGATATTAACTTATAGTTCTCTTCTTTGGTTGGATTTTTGTCTGGTTTTGGAGTCAGGGTAATGCTAGTTTGTAGAATGACTTTGGGAGCATTCCTTCCCCTTCAATTTCAGCAAAGAGCTTGAGGAGTATTGGTGCTACAACTTCCCTCAAGTTCTTGCAGAGTTCAGCACTGAGTTCATTTGGAGCTGGGGTTTTAAATTTGATTAAGAAAAATTTAATTAGAAATTACTACATGAATTTCATTGCCTATTATTGGATTATTCAAAGTTTTATAGTTTTTGATTCTGTTTTGGTAATTCATAGGTACCTAGGAATTGCCCATTTCTTCTGAGTTCTCCAATTTATTGGCATAGTTTTGTGAAGTAGTTACTAATAATCTTTGTTATTCTCCTTTTGCTGATTTCCTTCCTTTCCCTTTCCCTTAATTTCTCACCCTATTTGGTATGTTCATCCTATTAGACATTTTGTCATTGTTAGCCTCTTGCCTCTTTCTAAGATATCCTTGAGAATTTTTGGAGTGCTGGTTTGGCGATCATGAATTTCTTCAGATGCCCTTTGTCATGGAAATCTCTTATCTCTTCGTCAGTTTTGAAAGTTTGTTTTGCAGGATATATCAGTATGGTTTGGAAGTCATTTACTTTTATGGCTTGAAATGGGTCATTCTAAGTGCTCCTGGCCTTTAAGTTTGGTGTTGAGAAGTTGCTATAATTCTAATGGACTTAACTGTATAAATAATTCATTGACATCCTTTGACAGTTTTTAGTGAGCTTGTTCTCTTGTGTTGGACTTCTGGGATTTTGACTAAGATGTTGCAGGAAGAGGTTCTTTTCTAATCATGGATATTTGGACGTCTACACACCTCAGTTATATGTATGTCAACTTCTTTTCCCTTCTCTGTGATTATTTCAGTAAAAATGTTTTTAAATGCCATTTGTCTGTCTTCTGATTTTCCACTGAATCCAATTACAGTAAGTCCTCGATTTACAAACATTTGAGTTGGGAACTTACACAGATAGGAATGGACCTGGCATCATGGACATTCACGCAAATGAATCATGGAAGTAGCTTATCCTAACCCTAACCCTGTACCACCATTTTAAGGGAACTGTAAAGGTAAAGATAGTGTATTTACAGTATTTGTGTGTATTTGTCTTTTTTTATGGTTTACATTGTACATTTGTGTCAAAGTTGTACAAGACTTTGTCAGATTTATGAATGAATTTGGCTTATGAATGTTCTGGAATGGAACTTGCTCATCAATTGCTGTAATCATAGTCCTCTTTGCATCATCTAGCAGGTGTTGGATATATTTCTCACATTCTCTTGTTGTTTTTAAGGTATCTGTCATTTACTGGTCACTGATAGCAGCCCTGTCTTTTAGTTCTGACACTCCTAACACTAGTCACTACTGCCCATACTTTTGTTAGAATTTTTAATTTCCTGAATTTTTGTTTGGTACCTTTTTATACAGTCTATTTCTTTTCTATTCTGGACATTCATGCTTTGTATCATTTTGCTTAAATCAGCTAGAGCTTTTTATTAGTATTCTCTGCAGACTCACTGATCATTATGTTTATGATTTCCATTATCTATTTTGTTATATCTTCTCTGAGCTCACCAAGTGCCTCATTGATCTGTGTTTTTACAATCTCCTCTGCTATCCTTTTGAATGATTCAGCTGTGTGGCTTTTGATTTCCTCTCCTTTGATGCCTCATGGGTCAGCTTTGGGGGAGTTGGGAGGTCTTGAAGCATTTTGTTGCCTTGTCTTCTTATGTTTCTAGTTTGTATTTGATTGGTTTCTTTTTGGTGCTGGTACTTGCAGGTTGATTAGAGTGGAAGGCTTTGTTGCTAATATTGAGACCTCTTTAGTTAATGTCTGCTCTTTGGTGATGCTCTCCAGGCATGGCTAACTATAGGCTTTTGCTTCTGTTGCAGAATCCAACCACCTTCATTTATTTGGGAGGGGAGGCTGCAGTGTATTTGACCCACTATCCATTTTTCCTGGAATAGGCCACAATATTGTTAATGACACAGGCAATCCAGATATTGGCATATAGAGAAAACCAATTAATAGCAATAACTATGTCACCTGGGTTGCAATAATAAAATCAGCAACAATAATGTCAAAGACAAAGTGGATATTAACGTACCTTACTGTCTTAGTTACTTTTCTCATCACTGAGACAAAACACCTGACACCCAAACTTAAAGGAGGAAAGGTTCATTTCATTTTGTAGATGATTCAGTCCATAGTTGGCTAGCTCCAAGGCAAGGTGGCATGGCAGAGGGGCATCACAAAGGGGAAACCATTCATGGCAAGCAGAAGACAGCAAAAGCAGCAAGCAGCAAGCTACAATAGCAGCTCTTTTTCTGTCCCTTATATTGTATGCAGGCTGCCTGCCCTTAGGGTGTGTATCATTCACACCCAGGATGGGGCACCCTTAGTCCTAGCATCACACTATGAATCAATCCCAGCATCACATCCTTAATCCCAGCATCGCATGCTCTAGATCCAGCAACCTCTGAAAAACTCCACCTATAACCACAAGAGGCTTTGGGGGGACATCTAGATATAAGGCATAACATCTGTGAACCAATAATGTACCACCCTTAACCATCAAAAAAGTGAACTATATTTATAGTATAATCAGTAAGACAAAGCAAATACCAGTAAATGTCCACCAAATGGAATAACTTTACCTTCACTAACAATAGAATAGTATTCACCAGTAATAGCATGGAGTTAAGTAGCGATCTAAAGAGTCATGAAGCCTAATTATAGTTATACTAGTGAAGGATGAGGGGCTGGGGAACCATAAATGAGAAAATTAAAGTTTGAAAAATTTATCAATGAAGGATGAGAAGGAGGAGAGAAAAGTGAGATAAGGGATCCTATTGAGGTTTAAAGAGAAACTGACAATATTAGAAAACTGTCAAAGAATGAAGAAGGAGAAGAAGAAAAAAAACAGCAAAATAAAGAAAAAAATGAATGGAAGGAAGAAAAAGAAAAAAACAGCAATTTAAAAGGGAGAAAACCCTCAATCTTCAAAAAAGGCAATGAAGGAAAGAGAGAAATTAAAAAGAAAAAAAAAATGAAGTAAACAAATTTCTCTGTTTTTAAATGAGTGGTGTCTTTCCAGGATCTGCAGTCTTGGAATCCAGCAAATTACAATTTTGTCTACCTAACTTTAGGGCCTGTGGGTTTGTGAGGTGCCCTCCCTGCTTCAGAGGCCCCTCAGTCCATTCACATGTGGTTACCATCTAAACTGAGGTGTGTCTTTGTTCACAATGATAGATCGGAAAAGCAATCAGCCCTCTGGTCTTTCCTGGAAATAGGCTACAGGGCAGGGGTTTGAGCAGATCATTGGAGTTAAAGTCGACACTTGACAAGCCTGGTTTTTCACTATGGAGGGCAGGGGCCATGTCCTTCCTGGCCTGAGTGTAAACATCTCAGGGGTCTATGTCTTGCCTGCAAGCTCTCTGGGGCTGTCTCCTGTGGCTGATTTTTGCGCAGTCACCGTGGGAGGGTAACACTGGAATCCCTGAAGCTGCTGGCCAGGTTTGCACTTTCTCCCTGGGTCTCTGGCCCTCCAGGCTTACTTTCTCTTCCCTGCTATTGTGTGAATTTTCCCATATGAAACATACCCACGTTCAATGGAACATGACCAGTCCTGCCTAGCCTCCATGGCCCTTTTCTAACTTCTAACTGCAATATTAGCTTTCATTTGTATAAATGAACTCTGCAGTTTATAATTTTCCCTGTCTGGCTTCCTTTCTCAACATTACTATTAGGAGATGTGCAACAAGAACAGGAAGCAGTACCGGGACTTGAAACCAAGGTATTCGCAATGAGCTCTATCTCCAGCCCATCCATCCATCCATCCATCCATCCATCCATCCATCCATCTATTTATTTATTTATTTAGTCTTTTTGAGACAGGGTCTCATTATGCACTTTAGGCTGGCCTTGAGCTCACTTTGTAGCCTAGGCTGGTCTCGAACTCGAAATGATCCTCCTGCCTCAGCCTCCAGAGTGCTGGGATTTCCAGACCTTTTAAAACAGCTAAAAAAACAAAAACAAAAAACAAAAAGCGGAGATAGTCTCTCTAAGTCGCTAAACTGCCCAAGTTGTGCCAGAACTTGTGATCTTCCTGCTTCGTCTGCCTCCTAGAAGGTTGGGATTACCAGCGTGAAACACCGTACCTGGCTGAGATTCATCAAAATTCTTGTCTCACTGTGTTTTGAAATTATGTTAGAATTCTGAAAGAAATTCCTAGAACCCGATAAAGAAACAGCTTTACTTTAATACCGGAACTACACAGTTTAGAGAATCTCGCAAGCGTGTATATTCAACTAATTCTTGGCTCCCAAGGACTGTTCCGCTACTCCCCTAACCACTTACGGAACCACGTCCCCTGCCCCGCCTTCTTCCCCACAGGGCCCGGTAGAGCCTCAGTCTGCGGCTACGCACTGCGTGCAGCGTCACGTGACCACGCCTGGCTGGCCAAGATGGGTGCTGCCGGTGTGGCTTTGCTGTTGCTGTCTCTGTTTCTACCGCTACTGCTGCTGGGCGGGTGGAAGCGCTGGCAGCGTGGGCGCGCGGCTCGGCACGTGGTGGTTTTGGTGTTGGGCGACGTGGGCCGCAGCCCCCGTATGCAGTATCACGCCCTGTCGTTGGCTAAGTGCGGCTTCTCCGTGACCCTCCTGGGGTTCTGCAGTGAGTCTCCCAGGGCCTGGGAGGGAGGCGAGGCCTCACCGAGTGCTGACCTCCGGCTTTGACCGCCTCAGGGGGCCGAGGCGGAGCAGCCCTTTTCTTTTACTTCTCTTGGGCTGTTCTCCCAGGCTGCAGGAGCCCTGTGCGGGACTGGACAGCTGGTGATAATCCCGCGCTTGCTATTGGTCAGGATTCTGCTAAGTGACTCCGTTGGGTGGTTTCACTTAATTGTAGGAGGTGACAAGACTGGGACTGGAAGAATCTGGTAACCGCATTAGTGTGCAGCTGTCCTTGTCAGGCTGGGTCTGAGCTGACAGGCAGCATATCTTCTCCCTGTCCTCCTTCCTCAGTGGAGGTTAGGGGTGTTTCACTCGCTGTCATGGCCAGCTTTTACCCGCACTGTGCAGGCAGGAGTGTCTGCTCTTTCACTTTGCTCTATGTTGAGGCCTCAGAGGGCAACTCAGGCCCATCGCAGGGAACAGTGGGAACAGCACTGTTGCCTTTGGTCCTAGTGTCTGCTATCCCAGGGTGATGTTGGAGTGGGACATCCTAGGCATGCCCCTCTGGTAGGAAAATTTCATAATTCTAGAGTCTTGGTCAGTTTGGGTCCCTGCTTGTGTACCAGGTCTGGTTTGAATATAAGTGGATCAGATTTGGGCCCTCCCTCTCTGAGCGTTCTGGTAGAATCTGGACAAAAATTAGCCTCATTCTCTGACTGCTGATGAACAGATTTTTGAAGTCTCATTTTCCAAAAACACTTCCTACTCTTCAGCCTAGAATTGTGGAATTATCTGACTTTCGATTGCTGTGTCTAGTACATTAAAGGTAGTGTTCTCCTTTACAGACTCCAAACCCCACAGCGAGCTCGTGGAGAGTGACAGAATTCAGATTGTGAAGTTGACTGAACTTCAGGGTCTTGCAGGTAGGACGAAGTCAACTCCAGATCCCTCTGACTCAGTGGGGGTTGGTTATGGGCAAACCTTGGGATTTCCAGGTGCTTCTTTGTAGTGATAAGTGTTTTCTAATTTGCAGTTGGGCCCCGGGTTCTCCAGTACGGGGTCAAAGTTGTGTTTCAAGCAGTGTACTTGCTGTGGAAGTTGATGTGGCAGAAGCCAGCAGCTTACATCTTTCTCCAGGTATGTGTCAGCCCCTGCTTCCCTCTCTGAGAACCCCTGTTAACAGTGTTCTTTCCAGACTTTTATAAGTGTACAAATTGGCCTGGGTGGTGTAGCTCTGGTAGACCATCTGCTTAGCATTCATGAAGTACTGGCTTTGATTTCTAGTACCACACACAAAAAATATGCACAAATTGATAAATTGCATGTTAACGTGTGTGTATAAACTTTCACAATCATGAGTAGGACCTTATGAGTAGAAGCCTGTAGTTTGTGTTTGTACTATTTATGGTCCCCCATCGGTAGTACTTTTCTGTATCATTACAAATGGCATCTTACACTGCACTTACTACTTTGACAATGTTTTACGTGTATTACCTTATCAGTCCTTTCAAGAACCTAAGAGAAGGTTCTTAGAACATTTATGCTTTAGAGATGGCAAAACGAAAACCCAGGGCTGGGGATATAGCTAAGTGGCATAAGCACCTGCCTGGCAAATGCAAGGTCCTGAGTTCGATTCCCAGTACCAAAAAAAGCAAAACCAAGACCCAGAGAGGTTCTATAAGTAGAACGTCATCACACAGCTAAGAAGTGGTGGAGTCAGGATTTGAACCTAGGTAGTCAGTCTGGTTCTAGAGTTATACTTTTAATCTTCACCAGTTTTTAACATGTGCCCCACATCTTAGTGGGGTATACTGAGTTCCAAAATACAATGGAACTTACGTAGTTTCATTTTGACAGATACTCAAAATCTTCCTGATTTACCCCCCACCCCTCTGGTGCTGGTACCTCATGTATGCTAAGCCAGTGCTCTACTACTTTTTCCTCTAGCTCTTCCTAATTTATTTTTTTTTCCTTACAACTAGTGCAGCTAACAGTATAATGAACATACATCTGTGTCACGGGCTCAGCTTTTTCCTTGAGATACATTGCTGGCTGTAGAATTGCTTGGTCAAAGTTTATGCACTTTTGAAATGTGGTAGGATACTGGCTAGCCTAGAGTAGGGTTGGGCCCTTTGTTCTCCACTGATGAGGATGCCTCTTCTCTGGCATGTTTAGCACTGCCAGTTGATGTTGGGTTTTAAAGTTTATGTTCTCATAGTGGAAAATAGCATATTTTTGTTCCTTTTTAATGAAATAGGGTCTCACTATGTAGTTCAGGCCAGCCTTGTAGTCACTATGTAGCCCAGGCTGGCCTCAAACTCGCAGCAATCCTCCTGCCTCAGCCTCCCGAGTGCTGGGAGTACAGGCATGCAGCACCATGCCTTGCTTCTTTCATTTTTTGTCTCTTCAGTTATTGACAACTTAGACTTTTTGGGCTGGCTAATGTGGTTGCTTTTGAGTTTTTACATCGTTCTTTGGTCGCAGAGAGGGTCTTTTGCCTGTTGGTTACCAAGAGCTCTGTGAAGGTATTGTCTCTTTGCCAAGTGTGTGGCAAATGTTCTCACTCAGGTTTCTGTGGACCATGGTCTGGCTTTCGTCTTTTGCAGCAAGCCTTTCTCTTCCCTAGAATCCCCCAGGCTTGCCGAGCATTTCCGTCTGCTGGCTGGTGAGCTGCCTGTGTGGGAGCAAACTGGTCATCGACTGGCACAACTACGGTTACTCCATCATGGGCCTCGTGCACGGTGCCACACACCCAGTTGTCCTCCTGGCCAAGTGGTAAGAGTCAGGGCGGAGGGTGCTGGTACCTCCTCAAAGCCCTGTCAGGGTAAGTGGGAAGAGGAGCCTGGGGAGCAGGAAGAGTGGTCAGTTACTCAGAGCCCGAGTGTAGCGTCTGCTCCCAGTGTGCATTTCTAGCAAAGGCTGGCAGTGGCTGTGGCTTTTACCTGTAGGGCCTTGCTTACTGGTGGTGCTGACAGTAGCTGTGGCAGCTCTTAACAGTTCCTGAGCACCGGCTGCATGCAGGTGTCAGGCCAAGCTCTTTATGTATGTGTCCCCTTCATTTCCTGCTGCCCCCTCAGTCAGGGGGTCCTGTGGTCGCTGTCCTGTTCTAAGTCAGGAAAGCTGGGCAGAGAGTGAGGCCACCTCTTGCCATGGAGGCAGTGAGAGGGTCAGCCCAGCCATCCTGTTTCAGAACATTCTCTGCCTCTGTAGGGAAGAAAAGGCTGTGATACTCTGGTGGCATTAGATACTCTTGAATCACTCTTCTCTTCCCAGTTCTCCCCTAAAACCAGGGCTCCAGTCATGGTTTGCAGCCAGCATTTGTTTCACGGCTCTCTGACATTTACTACACTTCTTTGTACACACTGAGAGCAAGCACAGCCTCCACAGTGATAGCACAGGGCAGCTGAGGTTCAGGTATGCAGCCTTTGTGATATTTCTCCTCTTTATTGTACAAAAGGCTGGATCTCTGGCAGTGTATGCAGCTTCCTTTTAAAGCGACTGCATTTAAGCTGAAAAGTTACACTACATGAGGAAGGCATGAAAAAGTAGGGTGCAGAGGGACTCGGAGTGAGAATCCTGGCAGGTTGGGTGACCCCAGCTCTGCAGCTCCTCTAAGTTGAGGAGCATCGAGGCACGTGGATGGCATGGTGGCATCTGGGCCCAACTAGGACTCTGGTGACCCTGGTATATCTTTGCAGGTATGAGAAGCTCTTTGGGCGCTTGTCCCACCTGAACCTGTGTGTGACCAATGCTATGCGGGAGGACCTAGCGGAGAACTGGTGCATCAGGTGTGGAGGGCCAGGGCGCCTGCAGTCTTGAAGGTGGAGGGGGGCCCCAGGGTTGGATGAGAGCTGCATTGCCAGTTGTGTCATGCTGGTGGGCTGTGTAGAAATGCCCAGGGGCCAGGGGATGGTCACTGGTTTGGGGAAGCCGAAGGAGGTAGGTGATTGCAGGTGGTTTCTTTGCGAGGCAGTTCTGGTGTTAGGACATCTGTGTGCTTTCCCAAGTGATTCTGAAGGTTCTTACTGTCACTGGGATTCTGCAGGTGCCCTTGTTTTCCTGGGTCCTCTTTGTCTTAGGCCTCTCCACCCTGCCCCCATCTCATTGCAGGGCTGTGACTGTCTACGACAAGCCAGCGACTTTTTTTAAGGAGACGCCTCTGGACCTGCAGCACGAGCTCTTCATGAAGCTGGGTCGCACCCACTCTCTGTTTAGGGCCCGGTGCGTCACCATCCTCAGTTGCCCTTTCTTGTCCCACTGCTGTTCTGGTCTCTCCCCGGCCTCTCTGCAGATTGGCAACACACCAGTCCAGGAGGTGGTGAAGTGAGGCCCAGGCAGCTCTTCATTTCTGTAGTTTTGTTGAAATACAGCTCAATCACTCTCGTCTGTGGCTGCCTGCAGCCTGCAGCAGGGAAGCTGGGTTTTGCAGCAGAGACAGTCTGGCCTGCAAAGTCTGAAGTCATCACTCTCTGGGCCTTTAAGGAAAGATTTGCTGAGTCCTGTGCTCCCTTATCCCCCTGCCAGAGGTTCCTGTGCTCGTGGTGGGCCAGTCCGTTGTGTCTTCTACGTGTATCTGGTTAAGGAGGGGATCCACTGTAGTCTCTGCACATACCACTCTGTCCCTTTGTAGCCCACATCCTGATGATAAGGGTAGAGCAGTGAGCCCCGTGCACTTTGCTTTGTGACCTTAGCATCCAGCAACAGGTGACTGTTTGGTAGGGTTGGCTGGGTGCTGACATGGCCTGGCGCCCCAACCTTGGAAGCCCGTCATGCTCACTGTGGTGAGAGGTGGCTGTGTTAGCTTTCTCGTCACTGAGGCACAACCTGATACCTACAACTTAAAGGAGAAGAGATTTAAATTGGCTCGTGGTTTCAGGAACATCAGGGCAGAAGGGTGTGGGAGAGGAACACTGCTCAACCCTTAGTAGCCAGGAAGCAGAGAAGGAAGGGAAGAGTCGAGGAGGGAGCCCCCTCTCCCCCTGGTGATGCTCCTCTTCCAGCCAGACACTGCCCCACGCTGCACATTTAGCTGTGAACTCACTGGGGGAGCAATCCACTGACGAGTACAGTGCCCCCGTGATCCAGTCACCTTCCAGAGGTGAAAACATGAGAACTTTATTATTGTTTTATTATTAAATTTTTATTTTTATTAGTGCATGTTTGTAGTACATAATGATTACATGCCTCGTAGGGAGTTGGTATGTGTATGTGACGTATCTTAATTTTTTACTTCCTTTTCCTCTTCCCTCTTTCCCCTCTCCACCTCTCTTGATCTCATTCCCATTTTCAAAAGATCTATCTCCGTTTCCTATTAGCTTTTATTTTGCTCTTTGTTGATACTTTAGGTTTGTCCTGTAAGGAATTATGTGATATTTAAACTTGGGTATGTGGTTTATTTCACTTAATGTTATGACCTCAAGGTGTTTCCTTGGGGAGCATTTTAGATCCAGACCCCAACATTGCTGTCCTGGCCCATGGCCTGTTCCATAGCCTTTCACAGATTATCTCTTCTGCTGTAGCTCGGAACCCTCAGACCCAGCCACAGAGAGGTCAGCCTTCACGGAGAGGAATACTCAGACCAGGGTGGTGACTCGTCTTTGCAGGCGGCCAGCACTACTGGTCAGCAGCACGAGCTGGACAGGTCTGTCCCCTGCCACTGGGCACCTGGGGTCCTGTGTTCTTGTTGCCCAGGAGAAAGGGGCGGTGTGGGAGCTGGGAAGGAGGTGCCCTGGAAACAGGCTATGAGGCTCACTTTTCTTCTTGCAGAGGACGAGGACTTCTCTATCCTGCTGGCAGCATTGGAAAGTAGGTGTGTGGCTGGGACTGAACTCTGGGGCCTGTCAGGCTGAGCAGTGAGCTCACTTGGCCTTGTGGGGTATGCGGTGTGCTGTGTGCTCCTGACCCCAGAACCACAGGTGGACTGGCCTGAGGAGGGCTGATGTGGTGGGTGGGGTGCAGAGCTGTGTTCCTATGGGTGAGTGAGCGATGAGGTCCTAGGTGTAAAAAGCATCTCGGGCTCATGGTCTTCCCATGGGAGCACCCTGCCTCCTTACCTTCTCTCCTCCCCACCGAAGAGAATCTTGGGTAGCATTTCTTTATTTCATTTTTAACAGAGTTTGAACAACTGGCACCCGATGGAGACAGCCTGCCTTCTGTAGTCTGTGTGATAACAGGTACTGCCCAGCACCCTCATGTCCTGTATGTGGGGAGGAACCCTGACCGCCTGTATTTAGGTGGGAACTGTGGAGGGGGTGGGGCAGCCTTGACTGAGCCTTCCACACGGCAGGGACTCACTAATCCCCACACCAGCTCTCTGGGGTGTGTTTTTAAACAGTGCTGGGATGGAACCTAGGGCCTTGCAAATGATAAGCAAGTGCTACATCACTAGCTACATCCCCTGCTCTATGGTAGGGTTTTCTACATCTTTGACAGAGGGGAAACTGAGGCAGGGCATGGAGCCTGGATTGGAGTCTCAGCACAAATTCAGAGATACCAAGCTTTCCACTTTTCCAAATTTCCCATCATCTCTGCAGTTTTAAAAGCAGAGGCCGCAGTCCCACTGCTTCCACAGTCAGGGTGAGAGAAGCAGGAGGACTGGGCCAGTTGCCCTGTCCTGCTCTCCTCCTTGCTTTTGAACCTGGGTCTGTGGGGTAGGCTTGGGACCCACCGTACACTGGGGACCCTGGTGGAAAGGGGGCAGGCCTGCGTCCCCTGCACTTGGCAGTCCCCTGGTTGGCACTCCAGTGTTTATGTGGTCCTGTGTTCAGCTTGAGGCTGCCTGGCTGCATGTGGCAGGGCTGTGCCAGGGGGCACCTTGCGGGGTCTCAGGTTTCCTTCTGCAGGTGGTCTTTGCAAAGAAGCCTGACTAGGACTGCCGAGGGTGGGGCTCCTGGGAAGTGGCTGCTGTGTCCCATTGGGAGTGTCTGGGGCCAGGGCCGTGTGGCAGACAGTCCAGGGCAGTGATTGCTTTTCTCTGTGAAGGCAAAGGGCCTCTGAAGGAACATTACATCCACCTCATCAGCCAGAAGCATTTCCAGCACATCCAGGTCTGCACCCCTTGGCTGGAGGCTGAGGACTACCCGCTGCTTCTCGGTGAGCGGGCTGTGTGGGGGAGGCAGAGGTGTCTAGTCAGGAGGGCCCAGGGCAGGGTACATGCTTTTTCTAAGGGCCAGATGGTGTAGTTTTACATGGTTCTGTGGCATAGTCTGGTTTTCTTTATAACTATTGGAAATGTAAAAGCCATTCCCAGCTCAGGGCCTCCAGCTGACGGCCCCACTTCGGAGGCCAGCTGGGGCAGTGTGCCAGGAACCTCAGGCTGAAGTCCCGAGCCAGTTTCCGGGTGTGCTGACCCGCCCTGCCAGGGGCCCAGGTTGTTTTCCGGAAGGTCCTGAGAGGGTCAAGAACTCTCAGCCTCCACATCCTGCTTCAGCCCAGGTGTTCCCTCTGAGGAGGCCTGGGCTGGGCCCTCCTTTCCCAGGTGCTGGGTCTCCCAGAGGGTGGCTCTCTCTTGCCTCCACCTCATCTCTGCCAGGGCATCTGGCAGGCTTAGTGCTGCTGTGTCCCACATGCCTCATCAGTCTCCCAGGAGCCAGCAAGCAGCTCACCGCGGTGCTGGGTTTGTGGTTTACGTTTATTTTCACACTGAAGTCTGACTTTCATTGGATCTGCTGTATGTTTCTTTTTACATTTTTTTCGTTATGCTTTTACTTTTTTTTTGGTCTTTTTGAGACAGGATCTTGCTATGCTGTTCAGGCTGCCTTGAGCTCACTTTGTAGCCCAGGCTGGTCGCAAACTCTCAACGATCCTCCTGCCTCAGCCTCCCGAGTGCTGGGATTACAGGTGTGAGCCATCACGCCTGGTTGCTTTTATTTTTTGTCATGGGTTCATCTTTAAAAATTATTGTAGTAAAACACATACAAAAAAATGTTCATCTTAGCCACTTCTAAGTGTATACTCATTGGCATTCACAACACTCACAAAGCTGTGTGATCATCATTCCCTCTGTCCAAATGTCTTCGTGACCTTGACAGAAATTTTTTTCTTGTAAGCAAAGGAGAGGTTTTTCTTTCCCATTTGTTTGTTTTTGTGGTACCCAGGGCTTTATGCATGCTAGGCAAGCGCTCTACCACTGAGCTTTATCCCCAGCTATTTTAAAATAAACTGTGGCTAAATGAGAAAGTGAGTCAACTTGAAGATGGGTGTGGGGTGCCTATGTGTAGTCCCCGCGTTGAGGGAGGCTGAGGCAGGAGGATCATACGTTTGAGTTCCACCAGGGAAACTTAGGAAGACCATGTCTCGAAAAAGTAAGAGGAGCTGGGGATGCAGCTCAATAGTAGAGAGCCCTTGGACTTAATTCACACACAAAGAGAAGAAAAATAAAAGTGAGTCAACTTGACTAAAAATATTGAGGTATTTTCTGATATGGCCGAATGGCTGGTGGCAGGTGGGCAGCACCGCCTGGCTACTTCTGTTTGGGTACGCTGTTGGCCGGGTACGTTGTTGGTTGGGGATGTTGTATGGTCTCCACTCCCTGAGGGAGGAGTCACTGCATGGCCCTGTGGCGAGTGTTTCCAGTGCTCTTACCACGCACCCCTGGGCCCCCAGGGTCAGCGGACCTGGGAGTGTGTCTGCACAAGTCCTCCAGTGGTCTGGACCTGCCCATGAAGGTGGTGGACATGTTCGGGTGCTGCTTGCCTGTGTGTGCTGTGAATTTCAAATGGTACGTGCGGACCTGCATCTTCCTGAGGTCAGATCCTCAGATGAACAGCTGAGGGGGACGGCATAGCTAGACTTGCACCGAGGGTCAGGACCCTTGTGGTTTCTGTGGCTGGGTTGAGCCCCTTGGAAAGACAGTCGTCAGTCTTCCTTATCTGTGGTTTACCTCATCGGTGGGTTCAACCAACCGGGGATCAGCACAGCCAGGCTATGGGGTTACAGCTGTTCCAAATTGCAGACATTTCCCTTGTCCTTACTCCTTAATCAATACACTATTTACATTGCATTTACATCATGTTAGGTATTATTCATCACGGAGAAAGGATTTAGGGTTTAGAGAGGGCTGTGCAGAGGTTGTATGCAGACACTGTACCATTTTATATAACAGGAACATCAGGGGGTGTCCCAGGGGCCCCTAGAGCAAGTCCCCATGGATACTGAGGAACAGCTGTAGTTAGCTCATGTGAACAGAAACATACGTGGTTACACATGAGCCTCTCTTGTGCTCGTAAGAGGATAATGGCTGGATTTGCTGTACAGCCTGCATGGTTCCCTTATTCTCATGTCCCTGTTGGCTGAGCTCGGGTAGTTGGGGTGAGATCAGTTAGAGGTGTGCAATTCTGTGACTCCGTCTCTTTGGATATCGGAAAGGGCAGTGGCAGATGAGATTCTGAAAGCCGTGGCCCCTCTGGGCCATGTGCCCACCTGCCCAGAGAGCCACACTGGATGGGAGATCAAGATGTTAGACCCTCGTGTGAGCTGAGCTCAGGGTCAATCTGCTGGTGACCCTAGAAAGCCACTCCCAGGGTCCTGTGTTGGCCTTAGCTGAGGGCAGGGAGTAGAAAAAACAAGCAGAAAGGATCCTGGAGGTATGTTGTCCTTGAAGAGTGAATGGTCCAAAAGGGCCAAATTCTTCCAGGCGCCCCTTTCCAGATTGGGGTGGCCTGGTGACATGTGTCCTTCCTGGCTTTTTCTGTACAAACTCTGGATCTCAGGACAGTCTCACTGAGCCTCAACCCCATCTTCAACCTGAATGGGGTGGGGAGCTGAGGGCCCAGCTGGGGACCACCGAGCATGGGATCCCCTTGGGTAGCTCTCAGGCCTCTCTTGCTTCTCTCCACAGTTTACACGAACTAGTGAAACACGGAGAAAATGGCCTGGTCTTCGAGGATGCAGAGGAACTGGCATCTCAGCTGCAGGTAGCATGCCTGCCCATCCTGCAGTTTGGAGGGTGTGGAGACACATGGCATGGTGGGACTCTGCAGGGTCTGGAGGAAAAGCAGAGGGAGGCAGGGAGGCAGCAGAGGTCCCAGAGGTGGCCGTTCTTGCCGTGGGCTCCCATACATGCAGCCAATGGGTGCAGAAGGGCCAGGGCAGGCCCTGACTGGGTCTGTGGAGCTGACACCACACAAAAGATGGAAGTGCTGCCATTTAGGGAGTGAGCAGGATCACACCATGGAGCTTTGTGGACCAGCCTTATGAAGGGTGGGACTCCAGAGCATACTGCTTTTTTCTTACAAAAATTAACACACTGTCATTCTTGACAGTTGAAAGATCTGTGGACATTTTTTGTAAAGGTCTAGGTAGAAAACATTTCAGGCTTTGTCTGGCATCTCTGAGAGCCATACGCTCCACTGTTTCATGGAAGCGGCTACTAGCAATCTAGACAGAGGGGCTGGGTTCCAACAATACTTTTCTTACCAAGACAGATGGGCTGGATTTGGCCTATAGTCTATAGTTTGCTAATCCTAATGTAGGCTGTTCAGCAAAGTGCAGACCTGGCCTGCTCCTTCCTGGCAGGTGTGAGAAAAGCAGGCTGAGGCCAGGTCTACTCCAGGGCACAGGGTGTGGGAAACTAGAAGACAAGGCTCTCTGAAGGCCCAAGAAGGCAGTGGGGACTTGAGGCAGGCGTTACAGGGTGGGAATCCTGTGGCCAGAGCTGTCAGCCAGCCAGACGGGAAGCTGGGTCTGCAGGGGAAGGCCCTAGCAAGGGGCTGGACGTATTGATGAGCTAACTTCTGAGCTTTATTTTCCTGTAGATGCTTTTATCCAAGTTTCCTGATCCTGGTGGCAAATTAAATCAGCTCCGCAAGAACCTCCGAGAGTCAGAGCAGCTTCGGTGGGACGAGAGCTGGCAGCAGACTGTGCTCCCTTTGGTTATGGACTCTTGATCCCACCGGTGACCAAAGCGCCTGAGCGGCTTCTGCCGAGTGATAGAGGCACAGCTCTGTCTTGTCCTCCCTGAAGATGCGAGGGCCTCCCCTGTGCACGCTCACCTGGAGCCAGCCCTGTCCTTTCTGCTTTTGAGCAGCACCTGCGTCAGTGGCCAGAAGCCAGAAGCACAGCAGCAGGTGCCGCCTGGGGAATGACCTGGAGACTGACCAGTCCATTGTGGTCTTTCAGGCACGGAAAGTACTCCTTTCTTCTGTTCCGATTGTATTGCTTTTTTGTTACTTCTTGTGATCCCTCCAGCTTCATGTCTGATTTTTTGTCTTCTCTCCCAGCTGTATTAAGCTTCTCTAGTCCCGATGCGTGCCTCAAACGGCCCTGCTGCTCTAAGCAAGGGAATTACACTTGATAAATATGTTTTTCCGCAGACAAAATATCTACCTTTGAGCCAAACTATTCCTAATGGGTGGTGATTATGAAGCAGAACTGTGGACAGAAAAGGGGGCATTCACACACTTACAGTTTGTATTTCATTAGAATGGTTGGGGTTCCTCCTTTGGAATTTAATATTCTTCAGACACCCAAGTTCAATGAAAGTTTTATCAGCTTTTCTATGTGGAAAAACTCTTCCCACGATACTGACTTAACTTGCATAATAATCTTCCAATCTGTTGGTGAGACCTACAGTGTGAGCTTCAGGATTGATGTCTCCGAATGCTCTTCATACGGGAACAGCTTCCGCTCGTGAGGAGGCACCGCTTCCCAGCGGATCCCGGCCTGGCCTGGAAACACAGCACATGCCTCTGAGGATGGAGGTGTTGTTGAGGACAAGGCAGGGATCTATCAGCCCAGGACAGTTAGGACAGGCTGCGGGTGTGTCCGCGCTCCTTGGCTTGGCTTACAGATTTCTAGGCCCACCCTGATGCCCAGAGGCAGCTCCACGATAGGACCAGGAGTCTGTGGACATCAGCAGTGACATCCAGGTGTGGCCACATGCCCCACCCTGCCTGTCCAGGCTCCTTGTTGCTCTCCTGTCTACTCCCAGTCAGCTGGCATAGGAGGAGAGGAGCTGAGAAGCGAACCTTCATCTGCCTGACATCTCTCTGCCAGTGCTCCTCCCGAAGGCCAGAAGGGCTCATGTCATCTGTATGCACACAGGCTGGGGAGCTGCTCACCAGGATGGTTTCTTAATATGGTTTTTGTTACAGATGAAAAGTTAGCATTTATAAAAGTGAAAGGGTACAGTATAAAGGCATGGAAGTGTCTGAGCACACCATCCAAGTGTAACTGGGTGTATATTCTAGAAATTCCCTCGGGTCTAGTAACATAAAGACAAATTTGTTTTTCTGCAGTGCTGGGGATTAGACCCAGGGCCCTGTGCCTGCTAGACAAACGTTCTACCCCTGATCTACACCCCTACTCCCACACACACTGAATAAAAAATAGGCTTATATGTGCTGTTTGGCATTTTTTTTTCCACTTAAAATATACTCCTGCTACTTTCTTTCTGCATAAGCACCCGAAGGAGAACTTCACTCTTTCAGGGCTACACAGCAGTCCCCTGAGCGCTGGGAGCCCATTTGTTTGCTCCATGAATAATGTGCGCATCCCATGCAGATGTGCATCTGGGTGGCCTTCGACTCCCTACAGAGCCTCTGGTCAGCTGGGAGAGGCTTTGGTGTGGGGCCTGCCGGGACAGCTCTGCACTGCACTAGGTTCCACGTGAAATGCCCTGCTTGGGCCCAGTGTGCTCCACTGCGGGAGGTGGTTTTGGTTTTGGGTGGGGTGTTTGGCAGAGTCCATGGGGCTTTGTGGTCCCCTAGCTTCCCTGTAGCCCGGTGTCTTCACAGTTGAGACAGGACGATGGCAGGGCTCCTCCTAGATGTGACTGACAAGTGACAGGCCTGAGGATGGTGCCCAGCCCACTGTGGTGCCATTTCAGGGCTGTGCACATAATAGGCCACCTTACCCTTCTCTACAGCCACCCCCTGCTCTTCCCCTTACCAGGCGCCCATGACTGCAGCTCTTATTGTCTCTCGAGCCCTGTGTGCTGGCTGTGGTCCGAGTGTGACCGAGGCTGCATCTGAGGTGATGTCACCATGCAGCAGATGAAAGATGAGCCCGTGGCGGTGGGTGCCGAGGGGGATCTGCCTCTAAGGCCTGTGCTCAGCTATCTCATGGGCCAGAACCTTTTCTAGATCTGATGCCAACTGGCATCTCCCACCATCTCCATCTTACACATGAAGAAGCAGGGCCTGCGCTTGCAAAACCTAGCGCACATCTAGGCTTCAAAATCAAAATCTAGGGCCACTGGTCTTAAGCCTCCGGTCACCGTGCTCAGCTGCCTCCTACCAGCCTGCTCACTGGCCCTGCCTCTGCCTGGAAGGGGGGCCTCCTGGATTTTTCCTGGGGCCTCCTTTGACTTTCCTGACTCCTGCTTTACTGGAGCCCTCATGGGACAGCACAGTGGCGTGCAGGTCTGGGGCTCACCTAGCTCCGTGGTAAACAGCCGGCATGTCTCTGGGTTGCGCGCAGTGAAGGCCACGTAGACGTCAGGAGCTTGGTCTTTGCGGCAGGCTGCAAGCCTCTGCAGGACTCCAACCAGCGAGAGGACCACCTCTGGGCAATACAGCACATCTACAAGGAAAAGCCTGGGTTACTCCAAAGGCCTCCCATTAGGATTTGGAACCAAATGGCAGGTTCTCGCAGATGCAGATCCTTCAGCTGCAGCATAGGGCCAGGTTTCCCACACCTGCCAACCAGACAGCGTGCTGTCCCTGACCTAGGACGAGAGGCTGAGCACTGCTGAGTCGGAAGTGGGGATGTGGGAACTGTGGTGGCCCAGCCAAACCCTGCCTCAGGTATCCCATCCTTGTTCCAGACGTGGCTGGCTCCCTCCTGTTTCTGGAAGACAAAGGCCTGGATCTAGAACACAGCCATGCAGTGGGGGAAGCCAGGGCCATAGCATGATGATACTGAGTCCCTGCCACAGACATACAAAGCGGATCAGCCAGCATTGACAGGCAGCGGCCACTTAGCCCGTTTCCTGACTTGACTCCTGTGGTCTCACCATGGCCGGGCTCAGGACTGGGTGTTGGCAGCTGGCAGTTAGTCAGACATGGCCCCGGAATGACCCACAGCTACTGTGGCCAGTGCCCGCCCACACTGGAGGCCTGGGTGATGGTACAGTGTGTTGGATCCTGGCAGAGAAATGACAGCATCTTGGGTTAGGGGTGGGTAGGGCTGGTGTGTGGCCCATCTGTCCCATGGGAACTGAATGTTAACTGAGTGACCTCTTGGGATGCAGAGGGGCACATGGACTTGGCCTCACTGCAGCTGGGTGAGGGATTAGACTGGCTTGGTGCCCTGGGCCTATACTGTCTATTTCAGGTCTTGCTTGGATGGCAGGACTATTCATCTGATAAGAGTCATCACCACAGGAGCACGCTTGTCACCAGGGAGGGGTTTGCCTCAACTCCTTACTCCCTGAGCCCAGATCTGCAAGGCAGCCCCATGCTCAGCCTGCTGGACTGGGCATTACCTGCTGCGATGACAACATCAGGCTGGAAGACAGAGAGCTGAGGGACAGTGGCGACCTCCCAGTCCAGCTGGGCCACCGTCACCAGGGGTCTCTCTGCATCAGTGGCGGCATCTGGCTCTGACGAGAGGCCATTAAGTAGCACGTTTCCTCGGAGCTGCTCAAGGACACGGCTGTGACAGTCACTGAAGATGTATGCTTTGGGGTGGCAAATCTTGCAAATAGCCAGGCCTGTGAGGCCGGCTCCACTGCCCAGCTCGAGCACAGTCCTGGGTGGGAGAAAGGGGGTCCTGTGTCTGCAGCCATGCCAGGGCCCACCCGCCTCAGTGCCCTGCCCTGTGCCCCGAGGTCACCTGTGAGTGAAAACTGATGGGTTCTTGATGGCCCATTCTGCGAGGTACAGGGCAGCATCCCACGTGACCAGGCCTGTGGTGCCGTGGGATACGATGGCCGTGCTCTCTGAGAGTGTGAGCGGGGTTCCTGAAGGCTGTGCCGAGAGATGATAGGAGAATTAACCCAGTGACATGGAAATAAGTGGGCAGAGTAAGTCTGAAAGGCAGGCTGGCTAACCAAACCATGGTACACTGACACTGGGGAGCACCCCTCAGTAATACAGGGGACACACTGTGAACATACATAGCAACCAGGGTGGGTCTCATGCTGAGGGCAAGAAGTAGCCAGTCTCAGGTCACATGCTGTGAGGTTCTGTCCATCTAATATCCTCAAATGACACAAATGCAGAGATGGCCGTGGGGAAGAAGGTGTGTGTCTCATACCAGCAAATAGCTCCGGTAGCACTGGGTGGACTCCTCAGCAGTCAGGATCTTTGCCAATGCCTCGTACAGCTCATCCAAAGGCTCTGAGTGGACAGCCTCATGCTGACGGTGAACAGAGCGAAACTTCAGCCCAAAGGATCAAGCTGACCGTCATACATAACATCAAGATTCTGCCTGTGTGCCTTTGCTCTGATCTCTCAACATGGCAGGATGATTTTCACATTTATAGTGTTGGGATTGGAACCCGAGGCCTTGTGCATATCAGGCATATGTGCTACCACTGAGCTACACCCTCAGCCTGATTTTCACAAAACTTAGAGGGACATTTGGGATGAACAGAAGGCATCTGGCATATAAAAAACTCACTTGTTGGAGGTGGTGAGGGGGTACCTCAAAGAAAGGCATAGAGGGCTTAGAGCAGGCATGATCTAGGGCAACACACAAATTCCATGAGAGCTACCAGTGACTGAGGGACAGCTCTGGCAATCCTGGAGAACATTTTTAAAGATAGCGCTGGCAGAAGCCACAAGGATGGGCATGCCATGTTGCAGCATGTGGGTTTCCACTCTGTGTCACACCCCTTCATGGGGCAGTGCAGGACTTATCTGATCACTGGCCACCTCTTCTCCAGGTGGTGCTAGGCAGACCACAGAGGTGGGGCCTGGGGGTGGAAGTGACAAAGGAGCAAGGATTTTGTGTGTGCTAAGTCCAGTGAGGTGTGGCCCTTCTGTTTAGTGGCTGGTGAAACAGGTCTGCTACCGCCCATGGTGGAATCCCCTCTGATGCCTGCCCCGTATTGAACCCAGTAGGTAAAACCTGTAACAGTACAGACAAGAGCCCGGCCAGGAACTCAGTGGGGAGAATTTAATGAGGGAACTGGTTACAAAGGTACTGCAAAAGCTCGGACTTCCAACGGGGACCCAGGAGCCAGCCGGACACTGGTGAGAGCAGGGCACTGCCAGAGCCCACTGCGCTGGGAGAGAGCAGGGACCAAGGGGGCTTCCAGCACTCAGGGTCAGGGCCTGGATGGTGGCAGAAGGGGGCCTCAGAGGAGATGCAGCTGCTGCTAAGGGCCTGCCCTCCCCATACCTGCTCTGTTGTGCCTCCTGTTGGTCAAACCTTTCCTCGAGTAGCTGGCTGCCACACAGGGAAGAGTGTGAGGTTCGAGAGGCAAAGCCCAATCAGAAGACCCAGCCACATCCCACATGTGGTCAGCTCTGGACAGACAGGGCCCCCACTGACCTTTCTGATGAGCTCCGAGAGAAAGCATCGGGTGTACTTCACTGAGGGCGGGTGCCGAACACACACAGGATGTTTCACAGTCTACGACGAAGGACACAAATGGCTGTCTTAAGTGTCCTGTGAGCTATACGAGATTGGAGGGTGAAACCAGTTACCAGTCCCTTGGCAGAGATGTGCAGAGACACAGGATTATGGCCAGGTGTACCACAACTATCTGCAGAACCAAGTCTTAAGATACAAGCTCTTTCCTGAAAACGTCAACACCCCATTAGGACTCTGCACTTGCAGACCAGCCCCCTGCTTCAGGGTGGCTGGTGGGAACCATAGTGTGCAGAAAGGACAATCGTTAGAGAGCCTGGCTCTGCAGGAAAAAGAATAGCCCAACAGTGGGCACCAGGCCCATCAAGCACCTGTCCTCCTGGGGTGCGAGCCCCAGGCCAAGGAGCAGGGTCAGAGATGGGTGAGCACCAAACAGGACAGAAGACGGGGCTTCCTCTGGGATGGAGGGGACGGGGGTCTAAGGACTGAGGCCTCAGCTGAAACCTCGAGAAGCCAAGGACGGGAGGACTGAGCTCCAGCCGGCAACAGAACAGAGGGGCAAGTATTGAGACAGCCCATGCCTGGCATTTTGGGAAGGGGAGTAGAGGGCAACGGGCCTCGGGGAGAGGCAGGGTGCTAGATGGGGGGATGCAGACTTTCCTAAGGGCCACGGAGTACACATGCATCCCCCAGGCGCTGTCTAGTTGGCCTGGGTTAGGATTCATTTGCGTATTTCCAATTTTACATAGGTTTAATTGACAAATAACTGTATTATGATATTATTTTGTAGTGCTGGGAATTGAGGCCAGGGCATACTGAGTTACACCCCCAGCTGTTTTATTTCATTTTTTTATAGACAGGGTGTTACTAAGTTGCCCAGGCTGGCCTCAGACTTGGAATTCAAGCCTCCAGGCTCATGCTTTTAGGTTTTCAAGTGGCTCTTAGTGCTTTATGCTCTCCACGTCTGTGTGTGCTCCTCTGCGTGGAAATCACCAGGCTACAGGACCAAAACCTCAGACATTTCCTCACTCCCAGTCCTGACCAGCTGTATCACTCTGTCCCTGTACTCCGGCCTCATCTTTTCTAGGCTCACCCACCAGCCAGGACTTCTCCACCCGGGCTCCTTGGGCAGGTACGGTAGCAGGGTGCAAATGTCTGTGTCACTTCTGAATTTGTAGGAAAACATATTCTTCTGGCCATTTCTTTCTTGGGAGGGAGACCACAGCTTTGATCTTTCAGATGGCTTATGAGCCATAAGAAAGTTAAGAGCCAGGATGTTTTGGGACCTGCCCTTGACCCATACGGCCAAAGTCAGCATGAGGCAGGCCAGGCTCGGTGATGGTCCTGTCTCTGCCCCACAAACCCCACCTCTATCAAGCCAGAGTCCATCCATGTCCTAGAGACATGAGTGGGCAAGACCCGTCTTGTTTTTTTTCCGGCCTCCTTATTTTGGCTGTCGATGTAGAGATGTCTCTAACCAGCTCGCAAATGCTAAATCTCTTCCCGCACCTATTATGTCCGTTTTCACTGTGGATGGTTTAAAAACATTCCCTAGCTTCCCTTCTCTCATGTGTGTTTTTGTGTATTTTGATGTCTTCATCTAAGAAAACAGAAGAGCCAGAGTTATCCGAGGGATTGACACCAACCCACACGCAGCGTGGACTCAGGTGGTTTTGTTCTTTGAACGTAGATGTCTTTCAGTGACACCTGCGGTTCCTCCGCCAGGCATTCATGGGCAAGCAGGGGGCCTGGTTACTCAACCCAGTGACTCTGGGGTTCTTACCTTGTGCAAAATTTCCTGTAGCAGCTCAGAATCTGGTGATTCCTTTAATTTTTCTTCCAGGCTCTGTTTGGAGAGAGAAAGAGAGAAATCTCAAGGCCATTTTCTCAGGAACATTAAATACGCAGTGGAACATGTTGGCAGAGTGCTAAGTAAAAGCCACGGCGGGGGGAGGGGGGGGAGCGGCTACAGCCTGACCTTTGGCTGTCACAGGTCACACTGGCTGAGTCAGGGGTCAGGGGCCACCTGTGTCACAGAGCAGCTTTTTGCTGAGTGGATGAGCTAGGAATGAGGAGCCACAGCATCAAGGCTTCACAGGTTTGCCTGGCACCTCATGTCTGGGTTAAACTTGGAGACTCAGAATGTGCAGATGCTGGGCCCAGCCACGTCGTCCTCTTTTACAGGGGACTGCAGCATAGCACTACTCCAGTGAGACGGTTGTCTTAGCTGAGAGGTGACACAGGGCAAGCCACTTTTCTCCGGAGGTACTTGCCATGCTCTAAAAGGCCCTTCAAGACCTGGCCACCCTGTCCCATCCCTGCTTAGTCCACCCCAGCCACACTGGCCCCTTTTCCGCTCCTTAAATTTGGCAGGCTCGTTTCTACCACAGGGCCTTTGCACTTCCTGCACCACTGCAGATCTCAGTTCAAATGCTACCTTTCTGGGGAGGCCTTCTCTCACTCCTCTACTTGATGAGTCTCCCGCTTCATTTTCCATTTTCCTGTTACTAGCTTTTTGGCCACTCATCTCTTGCCATTTTCTGGTTTGTTCATTTGTTCTCTAGTTTTCTTATCTGAGCAGGGCCTCATCTGTAATGTGTACTGCTGGCCCTTGGTGGCTGGCTCATGGAAGGCAGTCAGTGAATATTGGGTGACTGAATAATAATACTAGTGAGGCACTGATCCAAGGGCTTTTGTACTGAAGTAACCCTGACAACAGCCCTGTGAGGTCGGTGTCATTATACCCCTTGTTTTACTAATTAAAAATGATGGCCCAGAGAGATATAGTCACTCGTCCAAGGTCACACAGCTTGTATGGGGTTGGGCCAGATTCAAAGCAAGGCTGTTTTCCTGGCCTGCGCTGTCATCTACTGTACTCTGCTCTCCTCACCAAATAACCCCTCTGCTCAGCCCGAGTGATAATACAGACCCTACCTCTTGCGTGCTGCGGTGAGCCTAAGTCAGCACTTTAACATGGGCACTTGAACAATGGTATGTGATACTGAATCAGGACCTATGGAGGCTATACAGTTTCAATGATGAGTTAAAAATGCACATATTCCTCTTGACCAGAAATGATATTAGTGCTGAATGTTTTATGTCTGTGAAATAACACAAATGACCATCAGCCCCTAGGATGGGGCAGACCAGGGAGGAGTATGCATCTAAACGGACTCATCAAAGGGCTTCCCGCACATGAATTACAGACGAGATACGGTCCACTAAGCCCTTCCACTGACACAAGAGACCACTCACCATGACTAGAACCCGGGTCCCCTGGGCGTGCGCATGTGGCGCCCATCAGAGGTCTCTTTCCCATCAGGTTACCTGAGACAGTGCTGCCCATGCCTGACACGGATGGCGCCACCAGTGATGGCGCTGGGACCGGATCCCCGCACTCAAGAGAGCGTGGTTCCTTTCACAGTGGGCGAGGGCAGCTGCGTGCCAACGACCACGGCGATCAGTTGACTAGAAGCCAATGGACATGATCGTAACATGCACATGATCCAGCAACCTTAAAGCCCGACCGAAAAGGCGAGCGCGAAGAAATTCTCCTTTACTCGGGAGAACGGACTGCAAGGACGGGGGTTGGGGGGGCGCGGGAGCGCCACGATTCCCGCTCCAGAGGTCCGCCCAGCGCCTCCCGCCCGCTCGCTGTCGCCGCGCGCTCCCCGCACCTGCCAGGGGAAGGAGCGCAGGGGACGCGCCGCCAGGAAGCGGCGCTCGAAACTCCGCAGCAGGCACAAGTTCCCAGCTTTTTCCTCTGGCGCCATGGTGGGGAGGGGCCGACGTTGCTGGGAGACAGGCGGAAGCGGGGAGGAGCCTGGAAAGCCTTCTGGGGGCGTGGCTATGGGCGGGGCAATATGCCAAAAGATACTTGGGGCGTGGCCTGGGAAGATGGAATCTTGGGGAGGGGAGAGGGGGGGCGCGATGCTCGGGTCCGGAAGCGGTGCCCGGTGAGGAAGTAGAGGCGGGGCTTAGGGCGAGGCCAAGGCCGGGCAAGGGGCAGGGCCCAGGAGGCGGGTCTTGGTGGGGCGTGCGTAAACTCGGTGTTAGGGAGTAGCCAGGCGCGGCTTCCGTGGGTGGGGTCTGGGCCCGGGAGGCGGCTTTTGAGGACTAGTACTGCAGCGCCGCCGCTCTGGGATCCGGCGTAAAGGAGCATCCTTTCTCTTCCCCAGCATTCGAGTCTGTCGCTGGAAAGGTCTTTCATTCGCCAGATGCTTATTAAGCCCGTTTTATGTGTTTAGCACTACCAGGACTGGGGCTGTAACAGTGGGAAAAAGCCCGTCTGGTTTCTGCCCTTTAGGGACTCGGCCTCGTAGGGGAAGTGGGCAGCGAAGCAATTATCGCAAAGTACAATAGCAGCATCTGCCGTGAAGGCGAACGCGCAGAACTAAGACAATTTCCAGTCTTATTTTGATCCTGCAGGGAAAGGAATTCCAAGGGAGCCTAGGAGTTGGCTTCTTGGGGTGGCGAAGAGAGTTGGGGCTGGGGAAGGTGGGAGAGGAAAAACAATTATTTCAAGTCAATGTTAGTGTCTTGAGTTGAAAGGCAGCGACACCTAGCAACCTGGCGGTGTTGCCCTTGGAATTTTCACTGTTTTCCGGGTCTAACGTGTTTCTTTAGCAAATCTCTTGGAAAACTCCACTTGGAAGAGTCCTGAGCTAATTTGTTAAATACCCTTGCAGAAGGTAGACGAGGGGACAGATTAAATCTCATTACCTCCTTCATGTGAGAAACACTCGAACCATGCTTAGCTATGAGAACCAGAAGGAAATTAATTCTAATTGAATGCAAGTGTTCTGTTGTTCCTCCGCAGAACCAAGTGAACATAGATCAGACCCTTCTGCCGATCATCTTTTATTCTCTGAACACTGATGATTTAAGCAAAGAGAGTGGACTGTGGTTTTACGTAGAATGAACAGTTTCCTAGTTTGAGAAGTACACAAATCCTCCTAGCGGCGATATCCTGAGGCAGTCATTTGAGATACCTCCGTGCCTCTTCACAGGACTGGGTCTTGGTGGCTTCAGAGCTGGGGCAGGAGCACGGGCTTGCACTCACTCTTTTGAGTGCAGCTCTCTGCGGTAGATAATGCAAACCAGTAGAAACGGGTTAGATACTCTCATAAATCCTGAGCTTCTATTAACTCACATGTTAGTTATTAATTACCATGCCTCTCTGGAACAAAGAGACATGCACAGTTGGTGCCATAGCAGGACTATATGATGTTCTCCTAAGGGATTAATAAACCCGGGCTGGTCCAGCCTTTCTTGACGCCACAGAGAGCAGCAAATGAGGAATGATTCTGCATGGACCACAGAACTGACCTGGACACAGAAGACGTTTTACCTTGTGTGGGCTCTCAGGAGGAACAGAGATCACAAGTCTTAGGTCTGAATTTGGATGGGTCAAGGCACTGATGGAAATTTTAAGATTCTATGGACTCACCGGTGTGGTGTGTTCAGGTGTGAGTGACCATTAGGATTGCTGCCTAAGATGCAAGTAGCAAGTCCAGCTGGCATTGGTCTGGACAGAGAGGAATAGGACATATCTCGTGGTCTTACCTGTTACAAGAGGGAGTGTAGTGTGTACATGAACTAGATGAAAAATTCAAGTTCTGAATCTGAAGCTTTCTATAATAGAATAATAACCTAATGCATTTTAGCTGAATGAAATAGTTGCCTTTTAGAAATTATACTGTAGGCATGGTAGTTTAATCAGTACAGTGAAGTTTTTCCTTTATCTCTCCGGTGGCTAATGGTTTCTGTAAAAAAGGACCAATTGATTTCTTTCTAAAATGTTGCTTCAGGGTGTAGAAACCTTTGTAGGTCATGTTTCAACTTACAGAAAATTTTTATAGTTCAAATATAAATTGCATTAAATGTGAACTCTATAATGGAGTTTAAGGTTAAGTAAAGTTCCAACTTTCCTTAGGCTGTTTCTAGTGTTCAGCACGCCCCTCCCCATCAAGATAGGTGCTGTGTTAAAGTGCGGTCAGGTTGGGTGTAATATGGAATACAGGAGGCTCAGTCTAATCATTTAACTATTGACACACAGAAGGAGATGCACCAGGACCATATAATGCTTTGATTGGTGGCAGGACCAGTGTTAAGGGTTGAATTACATCCCCTAAGAAGATGAATTGGGAGGTCTAATCACTGGTACCTAGGAATGTCAACTTATTTGGAAATAGGGTCTGTGCAGATGTAATCAAGTTAAAATGAAGCCATACTAGATTAGAGGGGGCCCTAAATCTGGTATCTGGTGTCTTTTTTTGGGGGTGGTGGTGGTGGTACTGGGCATGTTGAGCTATATCCCTAGCCCTTTTTTATTTTGAGACAGGGGTCTCATTAAGCTGCCTAGGCTTGGGCTCAAATTTGTAATCCTCCTGCCTCAGCTTCCTGTGTAGCTGTGATCTGAGGCACCATGCCTGGCTTTCTGGTGTCTTTTTTTTTGGTACTTGGAATCGAACTCAGGACCTTGTGCTTGCCAGGCAGGCACTGTGCCACTGAGCTATATCCCCAGCCCTTTCTGGTGTCTTTATAAGACAGGAACATGCTATGTGAAATTAAAGACACAAGAAATGACCTTGAAATGGTCTTGGAGGTAGATTCCGGAGTAATGCAGCTACAAGCAAAGAAAGCCAAGGATTGCCAACAACACCACGAGCTAGAAGAAGCAAGATTGCCGCCTTGATTTTAGACTTCCGCCTCCATGTTTCTGAGACAATACTTTCTGTTGCTGTGAGCCACCTAGTTACCAAAGCCTTAGGAAAGAAATACAACTGTCCATGTAATTTTTGGGACCCAACACAGTAAAAAGGTACGGTCTTTGTTAAAGAATCAAGAATTTTCGGATGATTAGTAAACCACTCAGAGGACTCTTCTGAGCACTCAATATGCACACTCCTGTGGCGTGTGCATATTGCCAGCCTGGGAAGCTTGCCCTGGCTGCTGAGTTCTACCAGTGCTGCCCCCTAGCGGCACGCAGGACGTAGTTGCAGTGGGTGATTTCATTGCATAGTAATCAACCACAGGAAACCTAAAGACCACTCACTTCTTTTTCTGATGAATGGCTGTGTTTGTCACATTGGCACCACACAGACCCGTGAGACCTCCTACGATGACACTGAGCCTAATTTAAGTGTTACGGAGAACAGGTTCTCTCTGAGTCTCTGATCTTGTTTAAAAATCGGCTTAAGTTGTCTAATGTAAGATGTTCTGGCTGTTCTTGGTCTCAGGGAAGTTTCCCATCCGGGCACAAGTGAGTATTAATTATGGAAATGAAACGTACATTTAGCCCAAGAAATGCTCACTGCAGAGAACTCTCAGAGGGCAAGTTATTGAAAGCCAATTTACTAAATGATCTCTTCGCCAAATGACCCATTTGCTTAATGACCACTCTGTCCAATGACCAATTTACTGAAAGTCAATTTGCTCAAAATTGGTTTATGGGATGTCCAGCTTACTAGTGACTGACACACACCTTTCTTCCCCAGGCCTCTGGCAGGGGTGATGGTGAGACATTTGAAGCAAAACTAAATCTCAAAGAGAAAACAATCCTCAATAATTTGGTGAATGGCTCATTCATTTAGTTTTCTGCCAAATGGGCTACTTCCTGTAGGTTTCTAGGAAAGTCCACAGGCAGTAACTTAGAAGGGAAGAGATTTGTACCTTTTTGAGCAAATTTGCTTTAAACTTTTGATAAATCGCTGGACAGCATTCAAGTCTCTCCTGTGGAAGAAAAGATGGCCAGTGTTTGCAGGTAATGTAAAGGAAGGGTGGCACTGAATGCCCTTCCTTCATATGGCTCAGATTTAGTTTTTTTTTTTTTTTTTGGGGTACTAGGTATTGAACACAGGACCTTGTGCTTGCCAGGCAAGCGCTTATGCCACTGAGCTATATCCCTGGCTAGATTTAGGGTTTTGGAGTCTTAAGAATTAGTAATCTCATGTCAGACTCTCTATCTCTCTTTCCAGCAGTGAGCGGAAGTGAGGACTTTGCTCCTGCGCTGTGGGCAGCTGTCTGTGCAGCCAAAGGAAGGTTGATCTCTATCAAGAAGGGGCATCTTCGGGCACTGTACACAATTTCCTGGGGACCAGAAGAATTATCCCTGAACTCTGTCTATACAGTGCTTTCTTTCTGCCAAAAAGGCATATGATGGCAGGAGGATCACAGTTTTGATCCCAGCCTGGGAAATTTAGTTACTTAGCAAGTCCCTGTCTCAACAGAAGTGCTGGAGATGTAGCCCAGATTCAATTCCCAGTACCAGTATCAAAGTATTTAGAACAACCCATGCTATGTAGTGCTATATATTTGAGTTTATTATTGTTGTCAGTGTGGTGATTATCTTCTTGCTGTTTCTAATGCAATGCTTCCTTTATGCCAACAAGTCCATGGATTCCCTGTGTCTTGGTTACTTTTCTTTCTTTGCTGGGACAAAATACCTGACGCCCAAAATTAAGGAAGGAAAGGTTTATTTCGCTTACAGTTTGTGGAGGTTTTAGTCCTTACCTGGCAGGTTACAAGGCAGAGTGGCACATGGCAGAGGGCTACAGCTCATGGCGGCAGAACACAGCAAAAGTAACAAGCACAAAAGCGAGGAATGGCGGCAAGCAGCCTCTTTCTCTCCCTTACATATGCAAACTATCCACCCCCAGGGGGGTGTAGCCCTCACACCCATAATCAATCAAACTCTAAAAGCCTGCCCCATGGCCACATGAGGCTTTGGGGGGACACACAGACACAAACCATAACACCCTGCTATCTCTGTCTGACTAGAGGTTTTATCTCAGCTTCCAAAGCCACTGGGAATTC